GCAGCCTCGACCTGCTGGGCTCCGGCGATCCTTCCGCCTCAGTCTTCCGAGTAACTGGAATTACAGGGGCACGCTACCACGCCCGGCAGATTTTTTTGATTTATTGTAGAGATGAGGTCTCGCTGCCCAGGTGGGTCTCGAACCCGAGGGCTCAGGCAATCCACTCACCTCAGCCTCCCAAAGCACGGGGTTACAAGCTGAGCCACCGAGCCTGGCTAAAAACAAAAAATTTAAAGGTGAAAAAAAATTCCTCTTCTCTTCATCTTTTACATCCATCTTTTTCTTTATTTTCTTTATCATATTTATAATAGTTATTGTAAGCTCATGATCTTCTAATTCCAAATCTGGATTACTTTTGAATCTTCTACTTTTGGATGTTTCTGCCTGTTGGCATGTCTAGTAGTTTTTAATTATATACTTGATAATAAGTTGTAGAGATACTGTATTATGCTACCTTCCTCTGAGTTATGTTCTAGTAGTAGTTCAATTACTGATGAATCATCTTGATTCTGTGGAGACTTTTGTTTTAAGCTTTGTCAGAGCATGTCTATTCCAGTTTTACCCTTAGTTCCAGGGTATAATTTTTAGTCTGGGAACATGGTCCTTACCCTTATTGTGGTCCTTCTGGAGTTTTATAGGAAACTCAAGGTGATTACTAAGCCCCTCTAACATAGGTGGAGTTGAACCCTAAACTCTTTCCAGAACTAGGCAATGACTGAAATCTCTGCTCAGCTCTGGTTAGCCTCTCAGCTCTTATTTTCTATTAGATTCCTTTGCAGTTGAGGACTCACCCATGGATTGAGAGGATGCAAATTTCAAGACTTTCCTCTTTGTGGTTGCTTCTTTTTGGGATTTTCCTCCTCAATTTCCAATTACTCTGACACCCAGATCTCTTCTGATTTGTCAACCCACTTAGATGGCTACTTTCTGCTTAAGCTCTATCTAGACAGGCTGAGCAAACTGAGGAGAGCCTTCAGGGGAAAATCTGGCGAAATGTGATCCTCACCTAGATTTGCTCTCTCTCTTTAGGGATCATATCTCTGGTTTCAGCCTACTTTTGTCAACATCCAATGCTTTCCAGAATTGTACTTTATCTTTTTTCCAGAGTAATAAATGTTATCTGCAAGAAGACTAATATGAGCAGCTTCTACCATCAGCAATTGGATTTGTCACATTAAATTTTAAATGAAAGATATATTTAAGAGTCAATTCTTTCAAGAAGAATTACATTGTAATAGAAAATAAAGCACAAACAAGACATTTTCTGTTGATTTTCTGGCATTTATATGCAAATACAAAGGTGCATTTGGGGCAGTCAATAGGGTCCATATAAATAACAACTTGCCCAGTGAATAGGCTATATTAATAGCCCTTAAAAATCTCCCAGCCCCTACTTTGTGTCTCTAAGATTTACTCTCCTCTACTATCCCGAAAAGAATAGGGCAAAAAATGAGGAGATGTTTTTTTCAATTTCCAGAACAAATTTCTATCCATAGCATAACAATAACTTTCCTGGCATTTGAAGATAATATTTGCCTATATTGCCTTCATTCCATAGACTTCTCTTCCCTTTCTCAGATAACTGCATCTGGCTCACAGTTTTCTTCCTCTTGCAATCTCGGATCAAATCTCCAGTGATTCCACTAGTGCAAATACTTCACCAGTGACAATTCTTCATCCTTTTTGGTCAAGTTCTCTTTTGTTTCTATTTTCATCATTTATTTGAGTTTTATAGGACCTTTACTGTGACTCTGTTCTATTGATTGCTAGGATCTCTAAATCTGTATTTTCCTACACTTCATATTTTCTACTTGTCATATTTGTTTGTTTTTTAACGTCTGTAGAATTCCTTTGTTTTGCTTCTTTACTTCACTAATTCCTGGACTTATGTTTATTTGTTCCATTCCTGCACCCATAAAATGGAAAACAAATAACCACAACAACCACAACAAACAACAAAAAAACCACCAAGTTTCTTTCAAGCCAGCTCTGTTCTCTTGCCAATTGATCCTAAAAGGGTTAAATATCCCTATGAAGAATCCCTGGCATCTTCCCACATAGATAGACAGACACAAAAGAGTAGCCTGATAACCTGGCTCTACTTCTATAAAGCTTTGCCATTAACCAGGGTAAAACTTTGAAATACTCCATTTTCCTGTCTGTGAAATGAAGAAAATATTTGAGAACTTGAAACCTACCACATCCTGCCTCTGGATTCCACTAGCCCAGTTTGAAACTACAGAGAAACAAATTCCAGGCTAGCAGATATAATGGCAATAGAGGAAGGAGGGACTGGCTGCCAAGCAAGAAACTGGGCACAAGGGTCTTGAAGCTCTTTTTTTATTTTTTATTTTTGAGTTGGAGTCTCACTCCGTCGCCCAGGCTGGAGTGCAGTGGCATGCTCACCGCCACCCCAGCGTCGATCCACTGAGCTCTGGGGATCTCTCCGCTCCAGCCTTCCAAGTAGCTGGAACTACAGGCGCGTGCTGCCACACCCGGCTAATTTTTGTGATTTATTGTAGAGATGAGGTCTCACCATGTTGCCCAGGCTGGTCTCGAACCTGTGGGCTCAGGTAATCCTCTCGCCTCGGCCTCCCAAAGTGTTGGGATTACAGGCTTGAGCCACCGCACCCGGCCCTGAAGCTCTTATTTGTGAACATTTAGTCTCACTGTGAGGCTTAGAAGGTAACAGGCCTGACATTGTGTCTTGTGTAAACTACAAGGAGTGGACTGGGTAGAGAGATTTACTGGTTGTCTTTCTGTCCACAACTACTCTGAATCTCTCACTCAGGGCTTCATGCTGTCTTTCTTCCTGGCCCAATTCCCCACATTTCCCTTTTCACCACCCCAAAATATAATCTAATTTTTATTTTTAACGTCCTGGTTGTAAAACTTTGATCTATTCTGTATTATTATTTTGATTCTTCAATAAAGTTTTAAGCTCTTTAATTTAAAAGACAGATGATTCTATTTTTTTTAATAAGTGGAATTTAGGCTGGGCATGGTGGTTCAAACCTGTAATCCCAGCACTTTGGGAGGCCAAGGCAAGAGGATTGCCTGAGACCAGGGGTTCGAGACCAGCCTGGGGAACTTGGTAAGACCTCATCTCTACAATAAATCAAAAAATTAGCTGGGTGTGTTGGCTCATGCCTGTAGTTCCAGCTACCTGGAAGGTTGAGGCAGAAGGACTGCCTGAGCCCAGCAGGTCGAGGCTGTGGTGGCCGTGAGCATGCCACTACACTCCAGCCTGGGCAACAGAGTAAGACTCTAACTCAAAAAAACAAAACAAAACAAATGAAAGTAAAAATAGATGAAAGATGACTTTTACTTCCTTGCGATCTGTACTTCCTCCTTCATCTGCCCTTGGTAAATAATTCTTGATGGAGAAAGGATTCTAGATTCTTATGTAACTGAAAAACAGGACCAGCTAATCATTTCCAAAGATTGGTCTCTCCTCACTGACCTTTTCTTTGGTGGAAATCGAATAACACTATATGTCCTATGTATGTATTAAAATAAGATCAGAATAATATCTTTCATTCATTACTTATAGCCTTCTGATAGCTATAACCATTTTCATTCAATGATATCTAAGGCAATGACTTGGAAAACCGCTTAGATGGGAATAGAAACTTATAAGCAATATATTCAATAAGTCTTTGTTACAAAACCAGAATGAAAGGACAAGGATAATGTCCATATTTTGTTACCTCTTACAATGAAAAAAAGATCTTTGAGCATTAGCAATGAGATTTTATCGTAGCATATTTGACCAAGTGGCAAGAGGTAAAGAATTTTACAATAGGGGCTTCATATATTAAATGCAGCTTGATTGTCAGTCTTAAGTGAGCAACCTGTTCTGCACAGATAGGAAGGAATGAAAAATTAACCAAAGTAATAAACGGTTATTTCACATAGACAGTTATACTGCATAATTCAAATCTATCCTCTTTTTCTCTGCTTGGGGCTTTTTTTCAGTTCAATAAAACAAGATTTTCCTGACTCTGACTCAACTTTGCCCTTGTCTTTAAAGACATTACTTTGAAGGATAATTTTTATTAATTCCATAGCTAAAGCCTAAGCGTCTTCTAATCTCCCCCTAAAATAGTTTTTTGTTTATTTACCGTATAAAAAAATCTAATCTGTATTGTACAAAAACCCAAAGCGTTTTAATAGTTTTGATGTTAATTTGACTTTGTGGCTATGTTTTTGCAAAGTGCCGAGGCCATGGGCCTTATAACTAAGAAGGAAGGGAGTCTATACGTTGTTTATAGTAACTTTGTTCCATTCTCTCTCTTGTCAGCTCTCTTTTTCCTGTTTAAAGTACAATGGGTTGCAACTATAATAAGGCAAATGAGTCCTATCAAACCCATTGCTGTTAAAACTCCTTTCAATATAAGACAATCTCTGTCAGGTAAAGAAGCAGAATTTGGGGGAATGAACAGAGAGGCCTGGGCAATGTTAGACACAGCAGACTTCAAGGAGTTCCCATCCATTGCTCGTATTGCCACATAAATTCTGAGGCTTTCTTGTGTCTCTCCATCAGGTTGACTTTCAGGTCCATTTGTGAAAAGTGTGGGTGAGAATGTAAATATCTCCCTGGTGCCAGCTTGCTGAGGCTTTAGCTTTGACGTATTTACTAAAATGGCATTGTTAAAGTCATCTTGAAGATTCTGTAGACTTTTACTTATTCTTATTTCATAGCTTGCAGCTGAAATTAAAAAATACAAATGGGAAGGTTAAGTCATCTTGAATAAGTTTTATAGTTTATTAGAAATAAATGACTAATGAGAATATTAAAAAAAAGGCAAAATTCCTAGGCATAAACATAACAAGAAGTAGAAATGCAGGCAAAACTAAAACACTACATAAGGACTCATACTGAAACCTGAACAAGAAGACATATTTTTTGAAGAGCAAGATCCAACGTAATCACGATATTATTTTTCCCTAGGTTATTTTGTAATTCTATTAAAAATGCCTCTAGTTTCTGCTTTAACTAATCAAGCTTATTGTAAAGTTAATATAGAAAATAAGTAATCAAAAATGGGCATATAAAGTCTAAAAATATAGCAATGTGGAAGAACTAACTGTACCAGATACAAATACACTAGAATGCCTCAGAAACTAAAACACTGTGGAACTGATGCATGAACAGACTTATATCCAAAATACACTTAGGCCAAAATGCATTTAAATTTTTTTTTTTTTTTCTTGAGTTGGAATCTCACTCTGTCGCCCAGACTGGAGTGCAGTGGCCGCTCCCGGCCACCGCAACCTCGACCTGCTGGGCTCCGGCGATCCTTCCGCCTCAGCCTTCCAAGTAGCCGGAATTACAAGCATGAGCTACCACGCCCGGCTGATTTTGTGATTTATTGTAGAGATGAGGTCTCGCTGCCCAGGCGGGTCTCGAACCCGCGGGCTCAGGCAATCCACTCACCTCAGCCTCCCAAAGGCACGGGATTACAGGCTGAGCCACCGAGCCCGGCTGGTTAAAATTTTTTATAAGACAAAGACAGAGTTCAAATTAATGGGAAAAATAAAAATTCCTCAGTAAGTTGTGCTGTGACAATTGGGTAAAGATAGGGGAAAAAGGTGATGTAGGTTGAAACCTGAAAGCTGACAAAGTCTTAGCAAGGGAAAGTAGAAGCGGATAGTCCATCAAAGTTTACCCAAGCAAGAGTAAGGAATCCCTGGATGGGGGGACTCGTCGCAACCTTCCTAACAAACATGATGGCCCGAAGTGGGAGAGGAAAACAGGTGAAGGTTTGCATGAGTTATGGGAAATGGTCCCATAACCTGACTGGTAAATATATGAATAAGTATTCTTATCCAATTTTCAGAAAACGAATCACCTCCAGTACTGGGAAGCACATACTGTGTAATGCAGAGCCCTTTTCTGCTGAATAGACTGCCTTAACACTGGGTGTTTATGTTTCCAGTCAAGGTTTCTGAGGGATTTGTGTTGGTGAGTTAACCAGCTTCTCTTCAGTCCTAGGTCAGTTGACTCACTTTCCCTTTTGGCCTCCAGGATTTAAGGTCTTATAAGCAACCCAGAGCTTTTCATAACAACCCTCTGCAGCTTTGAGTTCTAAACCCTCAAAGCTATTTTTACCCAACTAACCCCTGGCATTATTAGAAACGTTGTCTTGTAGAAAAACAGGTAATGAAAAGAGAAAACCTACCCTGGCCCTGATCAAAGTCTTCTCCAGGTGCTGTCCAGGATACAGTCACTTCCTCTTCCATTTTTACAGCTTTCAGGTCAATAATTGTGCATGGAGGAAACACATCAGGATGGGGGCCAGCTGGAATTCCCAGCACTGAAAAGGAGCCTCCTGAGCTTATTCGACTAAAGCTCCATTTTTGCTCCCCCTCACTTCTGCCTGCTGATTTCCTTGGGGCATTCATCTGAATATTCCCTGGACACAAAAGAAAAGAATAGCCAAAACAACAAATTACAAAGCCCCTAACAGTTTGTTTTTGACAGATTATTGGAAGACTTTTAAAACATATTGTTTTTCTTTACCACACCTTTAGAATAACTGAATTTATTAACTAATCTGTTCATTCATTCATCCATTCATTAACTCCACAAATATTTATTGAGTGCATATGCTATGCCAGTAATCATGGACAAAACAGTATTTTTCATGGAATTTATAATCATGTCAATCTTATTAATAAGCATATATTTACAAATTGTGATAAATTATAGAAGAAAAGAAGTCAGAGTGTTATGAAAGAAAAGAACACAGATCCATCATTTAGAGTGGTATCAGGGAAACAACGCTGAAAAGTTCCCTAAAAGTTGAGTAGAAGTCAGCCAGGTAAAGAATAGAGAGAATACCTCAGGCAGTTTCAGCTTGTGTCAAAACCCTCAGGCACAGGAGAGCTTTCAAGTGAGAGAAACTAAATTAAAGAAAGAAGGAGAGTAAATTGAGAGGAGAGAAGTTTTTGCAGGACCTGGTGGGCCAGTGCATTGACTTTAGATTGTAGTGTTGCATGCACGCTGCAGGTGAGCAGGAAAGTGGCATGATATTCTAAGAAGCCACTCTCTCTGCTCATTGGAGGATGAATTAAGTCACAGCAGACAGGGAGGCCACTTAGCCCTTCGACAGCTCAGATGAGAGAAAATGGCAGCTTGGGATGGGTGATAGCAGCAGAGGGGGGCAAAAAAGAGGCAGTTCAAGATGTATTTAGGAGGCAAAAATCAGCAAGAGCTGATGATGGATTCGAATATGGAATGATGAAGAAGAGAAAGATGATTTGAAAAAGAAAAGAAAAGCTCCCAGTTTTCTAAAATGAGCAAATTAAGTTACAAGTTTTATGATTCCTGTAAACCATATAATTCAAGACATTAAGGAACCAGCTGAATATAAATCTTAAGCTCATAAAAGAGGTTTTGGCTAGATTTAATACTTTTTTTTTTTTTTTGAGTTGGAGTCTCACTCTGTCGCCCAGACTGGAGTGCAGTGGCCGCTCCTGGCCACCGCAGCCTCGACCTGCTGGGCTCCGGCGATCCTTCCGCCTCAGCCTTCCGAGTAGCCAGAATTACAGGCATGCGCTGCCACGCCCGGCTGATTTTTTGATTTATTGTAGAGATGAGGTCTCGCTGCCCAGGCGGGTCTCGAACCCGTGGGGCTCAGGCCATCCACTCATCTCAGCCTCCCAAAGGCGCGGGATTACAGGCTGCGCCACCAAGCCCAGCTAGATTTCATAATTTTAGAGTTAAACATTATGAATTTAGAGGTTATGGACATATAGATGCTATTAAAGCTATATGTATTAATAAGATTTCCTAATAATAATTTTAACTACCATGATAATAGTATTTACTGAGGGCCTATTGTGTGCCAGGCATTTTTCTAAGTACCTTATATGCGTCAAATATTTAATTTTTCCATGAAGGCTACAAGAAGAGCACAATTATTATCCCCATTTTTATAGTTATGAAACTGAGACACACAGAAGCTAAATACATTGCCAAAGTCATATAGCTAGTAAATGGAGGAGCCAGGTTTCAAACCCAGACAATGTGGTTCCGGATGGTAAAATGAGGTTAGGACTTAGTCCTGAGAATTGCCAATATTTGGAGGCCTGGTAGAAAAAGAGGAGATGGAGAAAGAGTCTGATACAAAAAAAATCCAGAGAATATGAAATAATCAGGAGACCAGGAGGGGGCAAAGGAGAGATCAATTAGCTGTGTCTGATTCTGCTGAAGTCAGGAAATATGAGGATTGAAAAATGTCCTTTGACGCAATGGAATATTATGCAGCCATAAAGAAGGACAAAATTATGAACTTCACAGCAACTTGGATGGACTTAGAGTCTATAATACCGAGTGATCTATCACAAAAACAAAGAACTGAGTATCACATGTTCTCACTCATAAGCAGAACTTGAACAATTATAATATAAGAAAGGAGTTGGTGGTAGTGGAAAACTGTCTGAGGGGAGGGGCGGTATTGGCAGTAGTGGGAATCTGCTGGAGGGGGGCACATCTCATCAACAAGAGTACCTGCATAATGAACATTTATATACCTAACCCTGAATTGTACCCTACATCTTTAAAATGAAAAATAAAAAAAATTAAAAAAATATCCTTTGGATTTAGCAGCAGGTTGGCCATTGGTGATTAGGGTCAGAGCAAATCCAGTGGAGTGACTTGGTGGAGGTCAGATCACAGTGAGCAGAGCAGTAATTTGCAGGTGAGAAAGTACAGTTAACAGGTTTAGATTAATTTCTAGGAACTGGATGATAGGAAGTAGTGAGGTGAACAGTAACTAAAGGGAGACCAACTTTTTATTTTTTTGAGTTGAAGTGTCACTCTGTGGCCCAGAATAGAGTGTAGTGGCACACTACAGCCACTGTAGCCTCAATCTGCTGGGTTTAGGCGATCCTTCCGCCTCAGCCTTCCAAGTAGCTGGAACTACAGGCATGTGCCACCACGCCCGGCTAATTTTTTTGGTTTATTGTAAAGATGATGTCTCGCCAAGTTGCCCAGACTGATCTCGAACCCATGGGCTCAGGCAATCCTCTTGCCTCCGCCTCCCAAAGTGCTGGGATATTTAGACCACCACATCTAGCTAATTAAAAAAATATATATATGGTTAGTATTAAAACATGGTTGAATGCAGCTCAGAGGGGTCAGTATAGAAGGAACATGCAAGTGAGAGTTCTTCTCAAGGCCCCTGAATGGCATTCAGGAAAATCCAGTGGAGACACTGGTTTAGGGGGAGGGAGGGAACAGGGCAAATGCTGCTACGTCTGAAGATTTGGTGGAAATGGAGCAGTTCCCACCATTCAACTCAAGGCCATTACCTGAAAACGAGCTGATACATGAAGGTCACGTAGAGTAGGCATGCCTAGAAAACCTAACTTTTTCTTTTCTATGCTTTATATAAAGTACATAGATGAGAGCATAATTGAACATTACTTTTCTAATCTCGTTGTATATTTGATTCTGTTATTTGCATCCTTTAAACTCATAGGCTTGAAAAAGATACTCAATTGCCTGCAAGTTCTTTTTCAAGAATCGGGTCTTATTCTACTTGGTTTCCCAAGTTCCTAGGACTAAGCCTGTCACCTGGTAGGCCTTCAGAAATGTTATGTACAAATAAAAGGGAATATCTATTTGGAAACAAAGTATTACATCTAGATACAAGATCACATCTATGGAATAAAACAATGTTACCTTGAAAAATTGATTAACATTGATTTTGAAGTAATTCAAACTATTTTAAATATAAGTGAGAGGAAATTGTGTTCTAGGCAACGCAAAAAAAAAAAAAAAAAAAATCAGGAGATGCAAGTCCACTGTAGCATTTTGATTATTTTTCTAGTGAAAAGTACATACAGAATGAAAAGTACAGAATCATGTATGGAGTAGTTTAAATGGTTAAGTATTACTTCTAAAATACAGGAATAATATTCACAGAGAATCTGTATTTTTGGAAATAAAAGTGCTTAGAAATGCTTCTTGAGACCGTTTTTAAAACCTACAGCATGATATATTGCTGTTTGTCATACTTTAACCACTGCTTTGTATCAGGAGCTATTATAATGACATTAAAAAAAGATATATATCTTCTATTTACTTGACATTTTATCTTGAAGGAAAACAAAACATATCACTCAGCTCTGAAACAACCCAGGTCATATTTATTTAGGAACTCATTTCTCTGTGCAAATTGTTTGGACTGTTTGCTTTCTTTCTTTCAACTGCTAACAACCTTTTGACTCTTTCTCTTGCCTAAACTTTTATAGAGGAAGCATAAGAACATGAACTGTAAATCTCATTAATGAGAATTACTTGTTAGTAATTCTGATGAAACAAGAACAAAAATCAAAATAATGATTAAAATGAAGGTAGGCATAATCTGTGAAAAGTATCTACTGCCTTTCTGTTATTCATTTTCATGAATCATTGAGGACTGAAGAGACAGTCAACAAATTATAGATCGACTTAAGTATGGAGAGTTTTGAAATTCCATCTTTAGGCTGGTCATGGTGGCTCACGCTTATAATTCCAGCACTTTGGGAGGCCGAGGTGAGAAGATTGCCTGAGGCCAAAGGTTCTAGGCCAGCCTGGGCAACTTGGTGAGACCTCGTCTCTATAATAAATAAAAAAATTAGCCGAGCATGGTAGCGCATACCTGTAGTTCTGGCTACTTGAAAAACTAGGACAGAAGGATCACCCGAGCCCAGCAGGTTGAGGCTGCAGTGGCCGTGAGCATGCCACTGCACTCCAGCCTGGGTGACAGAGTAAGACTCCAACTCAAAAGAAAAAAAAAAAGAAATTCCATCTTTTTCTCTCATCTCTTTCTTTTTCTCTCTCCCTAATACACACACACACACACACACACACACAACAGAGATATATACATGAAATGATGTTACTAAAATAACAGTGCTAATGATTCTTACCATTTGCTATGTAACCTGGTACGTACATGGCATGACTCCCTGGAATAGAGTGGGCTAGGGTGCTTATGCTGGGAGAGTGACTGACATGCACTTTCAAGCTATATCTACCATTTACAGCAAAGGAGAAAAAATACCTCGAGTAAATTCCATCATTTTTTATAACATCAGCACCTGTGTGTATAAAAAAAATTTAGAGTCAACACTTGTCATCATAGTTGATTACTAATATTTATTTATTTGTATTTATTTTCTTTTGCAGGCATATCTGTGCAATGAAGATTACTAATATTTACATCAATAAAAATAAGGTTTAATCCTCTTATTCTTCCTTTTTAACATATGTTATCATGGTCATCTCTATTTTTGATGTTCTCAAGTGATTACAATTTAAACTATAAAGCATTTATACTTATTTTACAAGTATAAATTTCATTACAGTTCATTAATTTTACTTAGCAGATAAATACTGCTTCCATTATAAGAATAAGTATTAGACGACTATGTGGTTATTATTATTAGGGTGAGAATTAAATTTATACTTTGATACTTAAGTAATAGTTTTCATTGATTCTTTCATTGGGATGTAAGTTTAAACATTAAACAACAACAAAAAAAAATGATTCCAGGGAATAAATGTAAAAGCCCATTGAGCTGAATCAGGTGATTTTCCCTAAGAGAGCAGGAGTTATTCTCCAAGCCAGCCCACAGGCTAGCAAAAGAGAAACATCCTGCAAAGTGCACTTTTGGATCAGAAGCAAAAACATGAAAGACAAGACCATGGTTAAGCAACCAGAGCATGAGAAGTTCATTTGAATCCATTCCAATAGGTTAAACAAGAAGACTTCTCTGGAATTCCTCTGAGGAGGACTTGAACCAATAATCCTTTGAATGAAATTTTGTTTTCATGAATATCATACACAATTGTCATGGCATGATACTAGTGGGCTGCCAAACTAAGACTCTTGAAAAAGATTAACTTGGAAACAACAGGGTGAAAAAACTTATAATTTTATTAGTATTCATAGTTCAACTGCCAACACACACTTTAAGGTCTACTGTCATTCTGAGAATTTAGTTTAGGAAAAGAACAAAATAGGAAAGACAGAACAACAAAGGAGTTTGTTTTTACAAGTTAAAAAAATTAGCCAGAGAGAGTCCAAGTACTATTCTTCATCTGGCTTAATGCTGTGCTGTCTGTATGTATAATATAATGATGAGACTCTAAGCTCTGTGTGTGAAGACTGAAAGCTTTGAAGGAGGGTTTTTGCATTGTTTTGTTTTACTTTTGACTTCCCAGTGGTGAGGAAATCTCTAATCTGATTCCACTAGGTTTGCAGACCTGGTCCTCTTGTAAGCAAATCACACATGAAAAGGGCACCGTATATACTAGAGACGGGCTATGCCCTCTTATCTGCCCAGTTACTTTAGTCATCTCATAGGTCATCTCATAGGTCACAAGCACAATTTCCCATTTTTTTTTACAACTGGGTGCAAATGGCAAATGTACGTTCATTGTCACTGAATCTCCCTTCTTGACTTTTCATTTGCTATTTTAACTGTCCAGTCTGAGTATTTCAGTGAATAGCAAAGATGGTGAACCTTAGGGGAATATGGGCATGTCCTAAAGATATAGACACCTGCTCCTGTGGGACCCCACGAGTGGAAGTCAGGACCTAGGTGTCCAATGGCTTCCTCCCATCCTTTTGCTCACACACGGTCACTCTGAGGAGTCTCACAGGGACTCTCTTTTCCCAAGTCAATCTGTAGCTATTCGATATATCAGTGAATCTATGAGAATCTGAGAATCTTATAAGACTGAAGAAGAAGAAGAAAGGAGTTGAAAGAATTTTACAGAGAAGTTTAATATCGATACTACCACATCACGTCATGACAGCACCTGAGAACATGAAAAAAAAATGACAGGACATTCCTTGTTACCTGCTCCATTATCAAGAAGTCTCAGTGTAACAGGCTTTCCAGTCTCTGGCTCTATCATGGCAGTTACCGTGGCATTAAGAATGGGATAGAATCCCCTTCTTACATTGGCATAAATCATCACAGGATGGGGAAAATGAGGGCTGTCTCTTTCCACAAAGACTTCCACAGTGGCTGGGGGCATGGCTGAGCTGGAGGCCCGAGAGGTTACTGTCACTTTCAGGGCTTGCAGAGAATGGTGGGTATTGTTCAGAGTGTAAGACCAGGGCCCAGGCTGCAAAACAAAGGCTTTTGTTTTGTAAAGTGTGAAGAGAAAAATCAACACTAATTCTAAAGCAGGGTCCCCAACTCCTGGGCTGCAGGCCACAACTTTCCTGGCCTGTCAGGAACCCTGAACACACAGCAGGAGGTGAGAGGTGGTTTGATAGGAGTCTGCAAGCAATTGCAGGTCAATTTATTACAGTCTCTGTGCAGTCAAACCTCATTGCTAATGTTAATCTGTATTTGCAGCTGCTTCCCAGTGCTAGCAACACCTCCTCTGCTCCACCTCAGATCATCAGGCATTAGATTTTTATAAGGAGCACATAACCTAGATCCCTCGCATGTGCAGTTCACAATAGGGTTCACGCTCCTATGAGGCTCTAATGCCATTGCTGATCCGCCACATCAGCAGCGGCATTAGAGCCTTATAGGAGCATGAATTCTATTGTAAACTGCACATGCAAGGGATCTAGTTTGCATGCTTCTTATGAAAAGGTTGGGGACTGTTGTTCTAAAGTGTATCTAAACCTAGATCCTCATAGGAGCTTGAACTCTGTTGTGAACTGCACATGCAAGGGGCCTAGGTTGCACGCTCCTTATGAAAAATTGGGGACTGCTGATCTAACGCATATATAATCTAAGTCTCTGGAAGTTTTTGCTGTTGCTTTGTTGATGTTACATTTTTTTTAAAAATTACAAAAGAATGTTAGGAAAAGTAATATTGGTTAAAGGAGGAATAAATTCGTATTTACATGGCTTTCATAGCATGAACCACTTTTTTTTGGAGTCGGAGTCTCACTCTGTTGCTACCCAGGCTGGAGTGCAGTAGCACGCTCACAGTCACCACAGCCTTGACCTGCTGGGTTCAGGGGATCCTCCCACCTCAGCCTTCCAAGTAGCCGGAACTACAAGCATGTGCTACCACACCTAGCTAATTTTTGATTTATTGTAGAGACGAGGTCTTGCCAAGTTGCCTGGGCTGGTTTCGAACCTGTGGTCTCGGGCAGTCCTCTTGCCTCAGCCTCCCAAAGTGCTGGGATTACAGGCTTGAGCCACTGCACCTGGCATGAACCACTTTTATGATTAATTCTTTAGAAAAATTTGCCCTGGATTTCTTTGGGGTGAGGGAGAATATATCTTGATTCACATTTTTAGGCTGGCTTATCTGTCTAGGCTCATCACTGCCCTTATCTTTCCTTGCCTATACCGGTCCATGCTACTCTTTGGCTCATCTGTATCGAACTTCTCCAGTTCTATGCCATTGCTCTTTTTTGTCTGAGTCTTCCTGTGTGCTATTTCCTCTGTCCATGATATCATAGACACCTCGTGGCCCTTTTCTTTCTTTCTGAGTAGGAGTCTCACTCTGTCCCCCAGGCTGGAGTGCAGTGGCATGCTTATGGCCACCATAGCCTTGACCTGCTGGGCTCAGGCAATCCTTCCACCTCAACCTTCCAAGTAGCTGGAACTACAGGTGTGCGCCACTACTGCTGATTAATTTTCACTTTATTGTAGAGATGAGGTTTTGCTAAGTTGTCCAGGCTGGTCTTGAACCCCCGGACTAAGGCAATCCTCTCACCTTCGCCTCCCAAAATTATTTAGCCATTTGTAATAAGTGGGATTACAGGCATGAGCCACTGTGCCCGGTCCCTTTGTTTCTTATATTTCCATTTGATGGCTTCACTTCCAGAAAGCATTTTCCCCCCACTCCTATTTGCTCTGATAGTACCTGTACTTCTACCATGGCATTTTATTGTAAAGTTCCTAAAACAAAATCTAGCATATAGAAGATGCTCAAAAATATGGATTGCCTGTATTCATAGTATAAGTTCCAATAGAGATTTTTTTCCTCTAAGCATATAGAAAAATATATTTATATGAGTTATGTATTGGGGAAAAAAAGGCTGGAAAAAAAATATTTGTACTGCCAGTGAAAATACTAACCTCCCCTGTTGAAATGAAGCATTTGGTATTCGATATTTAAAGCTTTGAACATATTTAGTTGTTCCTTTTACATTTTTATTATGCACAAAATGCCCTCATAAATTTAAAGTTTTGACACATCAAAACAAGAGTTCCTTTACACAATACACTTAATCATGTTATTCAATCGACAGTCACATAGTTCATTCAATGTTGTCATTCTGAATAAGCTCACAACACCTACCTTGGCAGTTCCTGGAATCCAAAGGCTAGCTGTCCGAAACTCTAGATTGGTGCTAAAATCATTTGTGTAGTATTTTCTTCCATCAGGATCAGATAATACAATCTCAGGAAGACCACTGGTCTCCCATGTCACTAGAAAGATTGTGTCATTGCCCACGCTGTTATCCACAGTCACTGTGTTGTTCAACTGATGGTGCGGTTTGACATTTTCGCCTATACTTTCAAGCTGTTAAAGAGATAAATATATATGTGAAAGTTTCTAGAACATGTATAATCATTCCATCTTTTAAAAAACTCTTAGAGCAAATAAAAATAAATTCTCAAAAAAATTTAATTCTGACATGCTATAGTTATGTAAGTCACTTTTTCATCTAAAAATACTTTGTCAAAGCAAAATATTGCTTATTATTTAGGTACAGTAGATATAAAATATCTCATTATGGTTAATGTGATGTCATTTCATTATTTTTTATCAAGAGATTTTAGCTGCTCTCATATTACCTATCATCCAAACCAATACTGGCCTCAGGTCAGCAATTATAATGACAAGCTTCTGAAAATGTTTGCTTGTGAATGCGCTTACATTTCATTAATTTGCACATAATCTGTTCTGATATTTTAATAAGATATAAAAAATAGATGTGATCGTACACGTGTGCGTATAACATATAGAGTACATACATCTGCTTGGCTCTGTTCTAAATGTTTCACAATCTTATTTGATCCTTATGAAAATCCTCTGAGATGAGTACAATTGTTATACACATTTTACAGATGAGAAGACATAGGCATAGAGAAGTAATTTGCCCAATGTCCCATAGCAAGGACGTGGAACTTGGATAAAACTCAGGTGGGCTAACAGGGTTTCTGCATTTAATCTCTATGTCTTTGCAATGGATACAAGTCTGTAAACAACTTTGAAAATGTGTATTTGTTAAATAAATACATTAGTAACTCTTCGTTAGATTGCTCAAATCTGCAAAGCAGATAAAATTATTTTGGTGGATGACAGTAAAGACATTGTGAATTATCTGCACAAATTACTTCAACAAGTGTTTGTGGACTGCTGACTACGATGCCACTTTCTGTGGTCGGCCCTGGGCTGTGGAAGGGGATTGAGATAGTTTCTGACTTTAGTCTACTGGAGCTAATGCCATACGAACAACTAGGGGGAGGTGGCCAAGTCTGGGAATGCTAAGACTAATTTGAGACCCCTTGAATAATATTTTGTTAAACTTGTTTCTTACTTTTTAAAAGCTTTCTTTCTGTTCTAGATTTTAAAAGAGGAAATCAGGGGGTATAAAGATTATTGAACGTTATCAACAGGAGAGATGATTATAGTCTAATCTGTTCTATATTGTCATTTATAATCCACATTTTTTACTTCTAAGCATGGAATTGTGGTTATCTGTCTTTACTGTGTACATATAATCTTCACGTTAAACATTTCCTAACAATAATTTACTGACTTCATTGCTCACATGAAGCCACTAACTTGGCAGGTTCACTTACCATCTGTGAGGAAACTGCAGATGAAATTTTGTTTGAAACATTATTAAGTTATGTCCAAAATATCTTTAAAGTACTTAGGGAAAAAATGGCCCTCTCCAAAGTGACTTGACTAGAGGAAGCTTTTGTGAGCAAAATCAAGTAAGTTGTGGCAGTTGAAGAGATATTTAGAAATTTTTAGAATTTATTAACATAGGCGATATGCCTTCTATAAGGGTGGAACTTCAAAGATGTTAAAGAAGCGAATGTAAAATAGATTCTGTTTGATGGAATGTTGTTATGGAACTAAAACTAAATAAACAATTTCTTATTTTTCTCCAGGATCTTACACAACCCCATGGTAAGCAGCACCAATCCCTCCAATCCCTGCAATTCACCAACACCCTTCGCCCCTGCATTTGGGCTATAGAGAAGCAGCTAGCTCTGTTCACAGACATTGAAAACTGAGGTGACAAGTACAGAAAATGGTCCCTACTGCTGAGAAGTACATATATCAGGTCAAAATGAAGCCTGCTGTGGTGACACCAAGAAACCTGTTAAAACCTTCCATACAGGACGGGTGTGGTGGCTCACTCCTATAATCCCAGCACTTTGTGAGGCCGAGGTGAGAAGATTGCCTGAGCCCGCGGGTTCGAGACTCACCTGGGCAACTTGGCAGGCCCTCATCTCTACAATAAATCAAAAAATTCCCCAGGCGTGGTGGCACGTGCCTGTAGTTCCAGCTACTTGGAAGGCGAGGTGGAAGGATCGCCTGAGCCCAGTAGGTCGAGGCTGCGGTGACTGCGAGCATGCCACTGAACTCCAGTCTGGGCGATGGAGTGAAACTCCAACTCAAAACATAACAAAACAAACCTTCCATACACAGACTGATAAATGTCCAAACAAGGTTAATGAAGCAGTTAGCACAATTCATCTATATTCCCTGCTTCCATCTCCTTTCCCACTCCCCACCTCCAACTGTAAATATAACACTGAGAAAATTCTGACCTGAATACGTTGCTGGAAAATGTCTCCATTTCCAGAGGAAATTCTACTGAAAGCATCAATCATGCTATTGGAGTTTGATATATTTGGAACGAAGAACGTTGAGCCTCCTGAAATACATGATTGGGATGGGAACTATTGCAACTGATAAAATAAAACAAACAGAAAAAAAATGGTAGGAGTTTCCTTTGCATGAGTGTGTTAGTTTGGGAGAAGTAGTAGCTGAGCTTCACTTGCATGACATCCTACACAACCCCATGGTAAGCAGCACCAGATGAATGGATGTGACTTTTCTATCCACAGCTGTATTGTCAGGGCTTGGAACTTTTATCTATCTATTTATTTATTTTTCTAAATTTGTTTTTTCACATAATCTTCATCTGAACATGTCATAGTAATAACACAACTGTACAATAAAATTCTTCCTTTTTATTGCATTTATACAGTACCAATTATAGTACTTTAAACATTTAAAGAGGACAATCTGTATCATTTTTATTGCAAGGTTCTTAAAAGTTAATATGAATTCGTTAATTTTACGTCTCTTCCCTAAAATCAATGCATTTTAAAAAGCGAAGAAAAGACGTGGCATATAGAAGGCATATATTTACTCCCTAGTCAAACAAAATACATAGAACTTAAAAAATATGGTCATGGGCAACCCCCTCGGGTCCCCTCCTGCTGTGGGAGCTTTTCTGTCCTCTTAATAAATCCTGCTTTCTTAAAAAAAAAAAAGTCATTAGCAGTTTCTTCCTTCCCTCCCTTCCTCCCTGTTTTCTCTCCCTCCCTCCCGCTTCCTTTCTTCCTTCTTTCTTACTTTTCTTTTTTTTCTCCTTTCTGCAAAGAAAAGTTGTGTCCAATATGTGGCAGGCATTTTGCCATGTGTCAAATAAATCTAAAACAAGTATTATCTTTTTTGATTATACGTCTGAATGGGTATAGAAGAAAGTTGAGTCCTTATATCACATTCGAGAAGCTTATACAGTAGACCTAGAGCACAACTAAATTCTCAATTATGTAACTCACGCTAAAAATATAGTAGTTATTCCCCTAAAGGAGAGAAAAATTAGAATGTAGTGAAAGTTGAACAGAGTCCTAGAGTCTGTCTAGTGGGGGTGAGTCTGAGAAGTCTTCAGAGCCTAAAGTGGGGATGAGTCTGAGAAGTCTTCAGAGCCTGAAGTAGGAGAAAAATATTAGACGGTGTGCGAAAGAAACATAAAAAGCTCACTAGAGCTAGAAGCATAACCCTCTGAAACCCTGGATCCTAGAAGAAGCATCTAGAAATGCAGTGGGCAATTCTAGATCCTAGAGTGACATAATAGCACATGTGTATTTCCAGTAAGAGGTACCAGATGTATTATAGGAAAAGCATTTGAATTAAGGAAAATAGCTGAGAGGGTGTGAAATGTGAGTGAAACTTAGAGACATTGCAAATAAATATTTATTTATTATTTTATTTTAAAGAAGTGGGGGTATAATTGGGGCCTGGAGTTTATGCACTGTATATAAGAACTCAATACATATTTGTTGAATAGTTTTGTCAGTAAGGTAATTCTTAGATAATTGCAGTTAGTTGCTATCTATTTACATTGCTATATGTTTATATTATATTTATTACATTACATTTATATTCTGAAAACATTGTTTTCAAAAATAATTCAATAAAACCTGATCAATATCCCCTTTAAATATAAAGAATATAAGATAAAAGTATTCCATGTCTCGTTAAGAACAAAAAGATATGTATCTTACAATGTTGGGTGTGTTCCTATTATAAAAGTTAGTGCATTTAATCCTATACATATATTTTTAGCTCCAAGGTTATACAGGCTCAGACTGGCTTAATAAATAAATTATAAAATATTATTTTCATTGGATGTGCTTAATTGAGACCTAATAGGGAAAATGTGAAAAAATAACAGCAAAATTTTGACAGATTTTTAGCAATGTGTATGTTTAAAAACTGTTTTTAGGCCAGACATGATGACTCATGCCTTTGATCCCAGCACATTGGGAGGCCGAGGTGAGAGGACTGCCTGAGCCCATGGGTTCGAGACCAGCCTGGACAACTTGGTGAGACTTCATCTCTACAATAAATATATATATATATATAAAAGTAGCCGGGCATGGTGGCACATGCCTGTAGTTCCAGCTACTTGGAAGACCGAGGCTGAAGGATAGGATCACCTGAGCCCAGTTGGTCGAGGCTGCAGTGACCATGAATGAACCACTGCACTCCAGCCTAAATGGCAGAGTGAGACTCCAACTCAAAGAGGAAAAAAACAAAACAAAACTGTTTCTATGTTTTCAATTAAGCCATATAATCTGAGTTTCATGATTGTGCTTTGAATATCCATGTTAAAAGGAAATAGTCTAAAATATAAATTTTAGAAATTTATTACCTGTAAGATATGAAAATTCCTCCAGGTTTCTAACCACAGATGAACCCAGGACAATGGAATGGATGGTTGAACCACTGCTGAGCACGGTAGGTAAGCAGTTGCCGATAAGCTCATCATCTCCACTGGTCACTAATATCATCACAGAGCCAGAAGCTTTTCCATTCAACTTTTCAACCACCTGAACATAGACTATCAGTCATTTGGAAGGAAATGAAGTTCAAACTGTTGTACAGAGCAGAAGAATCCACTGTCATTCCAAATTCCCCTCGAGTGGGCATATGCCTTTTCAAGGTCGTCCATAGCTACCTACACGCCACGCCATCCCCGTTCAGTCTCCACCTCACCCCATCACAGTACTTGTCACCCTACATGCCATTGCTGGTTTGCTTGTGGGCAGGGACTTTTCCTGTTGGAATCACAGGGTGTGCCCATAGTTTAGAATATCCATCGTAGGAGACATGGGGTCCATTACTGTGTGAGAGCCTTGCCTCTGAGATCCAGTGAGTGACATGTAAGAGGCCTAGGACCGTGGTTCTCAATCTTGGCTACATGTTAGAATCAGACAGAGAGCTTTAAGAATTTTTTTTTTTTTTTGAGTTGGAGTCTCACTCTGTTGCCCAGACTGGAGTGCAGTGGCTGCTCCCGGCCACCGCAGCCTCGACCTGCTGGGCTCCGGCGATCCTTCTGCCTCAGCCTTCCAAGTAGCTGGAATTATAGGCATACGCTACCACACTCGGCTGATTTTTTGATTTTACTGTAGAGATGAGGTCTCGCTGCCCAGGCGGGTCTCGAACCTGCGGGCTCAGGCAATCCACTCACCTCAGCCTCCCAAAGGCGCAGGATTACAGGCTGTCACCCACCGAGCCCGGCTAGAGCTTTAAGAATTTTTAATGGCTAGGCCACACCCAGATTAATTAAATTTGAATCTCTAGGAGTAAGACCCAGGCATCAGTGTCTTTAAATCCTCAGGTGATTTCAACGGGCAGTCAAGATTGAGAAACACTTGCCTGTAGGCAACTATCATAGCTGATGTGTCTTTCTTCCTATCAGATAAGCATCCTAGATACTGAATCCAAACTTGAGTTGATTTAGATGAACTCCATCATTCCTGAAGCACACCTTTGGCCTCAGTTGGTTCTCATATGCTTGAGGTCTAGAATGGTTATAAGCAGAAACCAGACATGCTCATTTCAACTAGAAAACTCAAGGGTAAATATGGCTATAGCTGGACCAGTCCCAGAATGGCTAGGGACAGTTTAGAAATTACCCCGATGTTGTTTCCGTCCCCCAGTCTTGGTCATTGTATTCAGTAATTTACTCATTTATTCAACAGGCATCTATTAAACAACTACTATATGCCAAGTACTTTGCTAGGCATAGGGAATACAATGGTGAACACGAAGATCATCTTCTTGGTGACTTTTAAGATAATAGTTGAGGCTGTTATGACCACACTGTACCAACAGATTTCCCTTCATCAGAAGAAACATCATCTACAACATGAGGGAAAGGAAAGTGATGGTGACCCAAGATGTAAGATGATCTACTATACCTCAAATCCCTTCTTAAGCCCTGAACAGATGCTGGCTTCTGCTTCAGTGGACACAGTGGCAGGTAGATATGAAATCAGCAGCTTTCGGTCATCATTAGTGTTAATTTGGTGGAGCTGGGCTCTGATCTCCCCTTTGTTGCTGAAACTAGCAATACCCACAAAGGTATGTATTTCAACAATCTGCATCAAATAAAATTCTGCTGCTTGCTGCAGTAGAAGGAGTCTGTTAGCCTATATGCCAAAAAGCAAGAAACAACATTTGGTTGGTGGATAAAAGTAGGACTAAGTAATACAATTAGCAAACAATCTGCTAATTCTTTAGAAATACTGGATCATAGTTTTTTGAGTTCTAAAGAGTGGCATGATGTTAGAATATGGTTTGATTAATTATAGGCTCAAAAATGCATACTTTTTGGGAAAGAGAGAGTGGATTGAAACTCTGCCCCTAAAAAACTGTTTATACTTTTCTAGTCTAAGAACACATATTCATTCCCGCAATCCCTCTCCAACCAAGAATTCAAAGATCCATGGACTCAATTGTGACTAAATTTGTAACTGCTTATTTTAAAATCTAGCCCAAGTAAGAGGAAACATTGCAAAGAGACCTTGTGATAGTGAGGAATGGCAGTCAGGGGATCCAGCATCTGTATGAGCACTACTCTCCTATGTGGGTCCTCTTAGGTTGTGCCTTTCTATGATTACAGAGACTTAAGTGTTTAATCACTCTGTAGGAGTTACATGCTGGTTTGTGGCAAATTTGGTGTACTGCCTTGACCAGGGTTATTTACCACTGAATGGAATGTAGCCAGCTAGAGCTTTATGCTACACGTAAGAGTTTTGGAAAAGGGTCTTGGTTAGAAAAAGTTGCAATCTGTAAAGTGGTAAATATCTTTTTTGTTTATTATTTAACATTATTTAATTATTGTACTACTACTAATGTCCACTACTGAAGTAAAGCATTTGGTACCAAATATTTAAAGTTATCATTTCAGGTCTTCTCTCAGGTACAATTATCTTTCCATTTGACTAAGTCCATTCTTGCATAGCAGAGGCAGATAGTCAATATAAATTACCCTAAGACAATATTTGAGAGACTCATGCCCTAGTCAACTGCAGGCAGGCAACATGACAAAATTATCCAGGTGCTTGCTGTTTTAGTGGATTTTCTAATATTCTAGAGATAAGCCAAAAAATAAAAAAATAAAAAAGGCAACTATTCCAGAACTATTGATCCAGAGAGTACAAGAGGATACATTTTCTCCTTGGGAAAGTATAAATATATATATATATTTAAAACTGCCATTTATTTATTATGAGCTTAAAACCCCAAACATCCTATTTATTATTTCATTTATTCCCCCTCAATAACCCTATGAAGTAGCAGTAGTATGCTGGTAAATGTTTAATAACTGGTTTTCTGATGAAAGAAAGAAGGAAGGAAGCTCTGACTTATAGCAATTGCCAATTTCTGTGGGGTAAATACTCGCCTGTGTATAAAACCATGGCAAATGTGGGACATCACTGAACACAGAGTTGGGGAGAAATGTGTAGTAACACGCTCATATAGATACAATAGACCAGAAATAGCTTCAAGAATTTAGATTAGGGATCAGCAGAAATTTTCTGTAAAGGGCCAAATGGTAAATAATTTAGGCGTTAAAGGCCTTAAGTTATCTGCTGCAACTAACTACTCTACCCTGCCATTGTACCAATAATGTGGCCATAGATAAGATGTTAACAAATGAGTCCTGCTATGTTCCAATAAACTTATATTTCATATAACTTTCACATGTCAACCAGGCACAGTGGCTCACACCTGTCATCCCAGCACCTTGGGAGGAGGAGGCGAGAGGCTTGCCTAAGCCCAGGGGTTCATGACCAGCCAGGGCAACTCGGCAAGACCTTATCTCTATAATAAATAAAAAAATTAGCCGTGTATGGTGGCGCACACCTATAGTTCCAGCTACTTGGAAAGCTGAGGTGGAAGGATTGCCTGAGCCCAGCAGGTAGAGGCTGTGGTGGCCATGAGTGTGCCACTGCACTCCAGCCTGGGGCGGCAGAGTGAGACTCCAACTCTTAAAGAAAAAAAAAATTAGATGTAATGAATGAGTCTCTTGATTTGTTTAAAATGTCAACTCACTCTTAGATGGTGAACCATGCAAAAAACACATAGTAGGCCATAGTTTGCTGACGCTGGATAAAGATAATAGTTAAAAAAATATAGAAAAAAAATTAGGAGGTGATGAGTTTTGAGTATTTAGTACTTTTATTGTCATAATTTATTTGTCAGTTTGCATAGTTTAGTTGTTATTTTTATTTTTTTGAGTCAGAGTCTCACTCCATCACCCAGGCTGGAGTGTATTGGCATGCTCACGGCCACCCAGCATCGAACTGTTGGGCTCCGGGAATCCTCCCACCTCAGCCTTCCAAGTAGCTGGAACTATAGGCACGCGGGACTCAGGCAATCTACTTGCGTTGGCCTCCCAAAGTGCTGGGATTACAGGTCGAGTCACTGAGCCTGGCCAGTTTAATTGTTATTAATGGCTATGCTTAATGTTTGCAAATATCCCCAAAATTTATCAGCTGACTCTTGTGAAAGTAGGTGTTATTATTCCTATTTTACAGATGAGAAAACGGTGCCCCAGAGAAACCATCTTGCTCTTTACTACATAGACAGTAAGTGAAGGAGCCAGGATTAAAGCTCTTCTACCTGATTCCAGAGACTAGTCTTTAATCTAAACTCTGTAAGAGCTACACGTGCATGTCCGTGGCAAATTCAGGCTACTGCCTTGACTAGGGTTTTACACCACTGAATGGAATGTAGCCAGATGGGAGTTTTTGTTACATATATGAGTTTTGGAAAAGGGTCTTGATTGGAAAAAGTTGCAATTATTAGCAAAAATGAGATTTGGGAATTATCTGTGGATTTCATTTGTCTTCATAATCTCTATTTTGAGGCCACATTCTGAATTTGTTCTTCCCACCTCCAAGAAAATAAGATGTCCTTGACTCCAAACCTTTTGCCTCCTCCCGCCCTTATCCTTATCCCCTGAAAAGAAATAGAATTAAAAGTAGATAGAAAAAAGAATGACAGATGGTTTACAGGCATTTTAGATCAAAGTGTTACCTCTGCCATCTTACTGGACACATCCAACACTAAACAGACCACTTTGTCAGCAGCCTGTACAAGAGAGAATGTGGGAGGAGGTGGAAGCTCAGTCCCATTCATAGGAAAGCTGTGATTAAAGTCAGCGGAGTCTGTGATGACATCCCATGTGCTTCTGAGGCTGCACATTTGGTTCTGAAGATTTGGAGCTTCTTGGTTGTGGGTGCTTGCATTACAGAATTCAACCACCTGGAAAAAAGAAAAACAGTCGATCAGAGAGTAAAACTGTCTCATACCAGACAGACTTCTCATTATCAAGCAACTACAGGTAAAAGAAAAGGTGAGTTGAAAGAAAGAAAATCAGAAGCACTTCAGTAATTACAGTAATGTACTTCTTTCCTTTAAGAATGACATCAAATTTGCGAATAAATCTTGGCATCCTTGCTTGAAGCACTCGCACCCTTGTGGTACTGAGAGCAATCTCTATTAACGTTTACTGGTATTTAACTAACAGAGAGTGTGTGTCTTTATAAACAACAACAAAAAACTCCCTCCTTCCTTAGCACATATTGTGTTAAGAAAACACCCCAGGAGATGTTAATCATAATCAGTCTATTCCTTGGAATCATAGTTAATGACCACTCCACCTTTATTTGTTGATCAGTCAGCATATATTGGTCTAGTTCAAATATTGATTTCTGTACGAATAGGATAAGATGGAAAAAAGTTAAATCTACTTCCTGATGCCCGCTTTCAAATTGGAAATATAGATATAATTCATTTAATGATATGGAATGTATGTCAGTACCCCACATAAAAATATGACTTGCATTGTGAAGTAATACATCACCATCTATTCCCAGTGGCTGTGGTCCTACAAAGAGGTGAAACTTCCTGCTAAGCCATAGAGGCTTAGAGCTAGAAGAAACTTTATAGACTCTCTAATTTCATCTATAATTTCATACAAGAGGAAGCTGAAGCTTTGAAAGGTTAATGAAGGCTAAAACTTATGACAGACATAAGTTTCTTAGTAGGGTGGAGAGATAGGAACAGAATCTGGTTTTGCTTTGTTTTAATTCTTTTTCTTACATTTCATGACTATAGCTGTTATGGTCCGAGTAACGCTTGACTGCTCCTCTTTGATACCAATAAATCAAAGGGGCAGGGAACGGAACTGGTTGAAAGAGTTTTATTTCTGAATTTGAATTCAGGGAGCAGAGTGGGCTTTTGGCCTCTTTAAAAGGGTTCTGCTCACCCTTCAAATTTTACAGTCTTCTTTTATAAGTCCGGAGGTGTTGGGACCTGTAGATTAGCCAAGTGATCACCAGAGCATTGTATAGAATTTAAGTTACAGCTGCATTTAACCGATAGTGACATTTTATGGTCCAGAATTCCTAGTGCCAGGTACCAGAGGTATCTCACAGCTGTTATCAGTAAGGCCCTGCAGAAGTGTTAATCAGGATTGTCATAGAGTGAAGGGAGCGTATAAGACCCAAGACATCATGCATTACACAAAAGTTATACAAATCACAAAACGTATGATTACATTGATATTATATTATCCAAACCTAAGACTACTAAGAAGAAGGAATAAATGGGGATTTACATCTTTTAGTAGTTTATTAGCCATAGCCTGCAGGGAAATCAAGGATTCTTTGAAGCTACTTACTGGAAGTGCATAGGCGATAAGGGGAAGCTCTCAGGAATGCATAGGAACACTTGAACCTTTGCCATGCCCTTCTTTAGGGGCTGTGGCAATATGGACAGATATTAGCGGGTCTCCGTATCATGGCTAGGAGGTTGTGAAACTTTTCTGACTGGATATTTATGAGTAGGTCTTTCAAAAGATCATGAAGATTGTACCTAGTCACAATGTGAGTCAAATATATGGAATTAGGTTGGCTTCAGATATTAAAGCTATAAGTTAGAAACATAATGGATGAGACCAGAAATATGAAAAGTTCCTTAAGGTTGTAAAATAACTCCTAGTCCTGACTAATACCAGATTGAAGAAAAAAGTTATCTAAAAAAAATATAATAGGTCAATTCAAGAGCCCTTGGTCAGCCATGGAAACAAAGAGAAAACGGCACAGTGGCACATGGCTACTGAGCTCCCAGCGCCATGGAGAGATGACCCATAGATGAGACTGTCAGGTTTTTGTGAACTTGGATAGTTGTATAGGGTAATGACGGCTGATGCCACTCAATCTCTGAGTCATTGAGCTCCCTCTTTTATGATTTCGTGCTCAGTACAGGCTTCTGGTAATAACTGGCTGCTCCAGGCTGCTTCATTCAGAGAGAAAAGAACTGGGCAGGGGTGCAAGTATGAGATTCCCATGGCAGTTAGCCTCCTTTTAAATGACAATTTTAAAAATGGTGTTCTGGATTTGTATGCTAGTCTCTTGCCGGTAAGCATGGAATATGGATAAGGTTTCTGATCCTGCAAAGCTGAGGGTTAGTTAACTTCCCCTAGAACTATCTCACCTTTCTTTTTAAGTTCTAGTTAGGTAAAGCAAGAGAAAGAAAATTAGGAAATGCAATTAAAATATAGAGTGGTTTGCTACCCTCGATGAAAGAAATGTAATCGTTTGTTATATTACTCTCATTAACCCAATGCAGTTTCCTTTGAAAGGATACAGGAATGCCAACAGATAAGCAATTTATTTCGTGGTCTCCAGAGACTCTATGTTAAATCATCATTCCCAGGAAAGCAAATAGTCACTTTCCTAAAATGAATCTAATTTTGGATTATCCTGGGAGCCTCAGTTTTTAATTTATAGAACAATAGCTAGATGAACTGTAAGATCCCCACACTCTAAGACAGTGTCCAACATTTTGACTTTCCTGGGTCACATTGAGTAAGGAGGAATTGTCTTGGGCCACACATAAATTACGCAATATAGTTAGCGCATATACATAATAAGACTTCTTTTATTTTCTTATATTTTTTATTATAAAGTTTAGAAAAATGAGAACAATATAAAACTAGTGGGAAATTTGACCTTGTTTTTGTAACACTAATCTATCAATGTCTGGTTCGATAGAAATGGTTGCAATTCTTAGTGAGTTCTCAAGGTGCTTGTCAGAAATATTTGTTTGAATTTTGTTCTTTGTGTGCTTCATAACTGAAAATAGCTGCTCACAAATGTATGTACTGCCAAAAAGTGATGCCATGAATAATGTGTGACTGTGAACTTCAGAAATGGAACTATGCATGGGGACACGAAGAAAATAAATGATAAAAAGCACATGATGTTAAAAGATTTTTGTAGGGCCGCATTACTAGCTGTCCTGGGCTGCACGCGGCCCTGGGCCATGGGTTGGACATGCGTGCTCTAAGATATAGTGAATCTTAATTGTCTAATAGTTTCAATACTTAAAACATATTAGTCTACCTCAGGATAACAAAGAATCTTATAAGAGTTTGTCATTCCAAGACTATACTTACAGAAGATAAACTTTGCATGAACATTATTGATGCAGTTGCATTTTGGGTGCTATCGTAGATAAACGTGCACCCTTCTTTGAAAAGCTTACTAATAACACAGTTTTCTTGGGGGCAAGGGCCCTTTTCACACACGAAAATACCTGTGATGTCAGATGAACACCTAAAAATGGAAAGAGAAACTGGGAATTAGATCTATTTTAGAACTATTTATGTTTCTTCTTTAGTTCAGATAATAATTTGCTTCAAGGATTGTAGTTTGCTAGGTACTTGTAAAACATTTTAAGAAACTGCTGTATTAAAAAATTCATTAATTTAGAAATGCACTCCACTTTGTTTTAAATAATTTGATCTTGATGAAGTTCTGTATGAACTTTATCAACTAAACAGGGTCAGAGCAAAAGATACAAAAAAATCTAGATGGACTCTGGGAGGCCCCAGAAAGGACATGCATGCCAATATCTTGAGTCAGTGCCCCTTTGAGCTCATTTCCACTGGATATCAGGGAAAAAAAAGAAAGAACATGCAATGATGATATGTAAAAGTATTCTTTCCCATATAAGCAGTCTCAAATGTTGTCAATGGTAGAAAAGTAGTGCCACTTTTAGGAGAAGAATCAGTCAATATCTAAAGTCACAGTTGAAGGTACCCTTTGACCCAGTAATTCCTGGAAGAATTTAATGGCTATGTAGATCTGCCTGCACACATAATAAATTGCATATGTGTAATGTTATGACCGACAATATTATCGGTAATAGAAAAAAACAGGGAACAACCCATGTGTCCACCAAGAGGAGACAGGTGAATAAATTATGGTACATCCATACAATGGAACACCATGCAATTATTTTAAAAGAGTGAGAAGAAATATACAGTCATATTTATTTGAATTTGCCTGAAGAAATACTGAAAACATAAATAAAAAACTAATCGATAAGATTAACTAGAAGAGATGAGTAGGAACAGAGAGAAGACAGTGGTGGGAGAGATAGCTACAAGCATGACTTTTTGTAATGCTTTGCTATTTTAATATTTGACCCACATAAATATTTGCCAATTAAAAAAAAAAATGCAAGAAAATTTAAGAACTGGAAAGTGAAAGATCTCTCTCGTCAACTTCGTTTCAGTTGCAATTAAAGCAAGCAACTGCTTAAATGAGACAGTAATTTAATTGTTTAAATTGTAAGCAATTTTAGCGTCAAATAAACAAGACATTTGAAACATGGAAGCACTAACCTTGTCACTTTAATTTGGTTCTGTCCATTTATGTAGAAAGGTTTATCGTTATTATACTCATCAAACACACCCCAGCGGAGATGAGCCCATTCGTGGACAAACACTCTGCCTGTGGAAGAGAGAGTTTTTGCTTCTGAGCACCTAGAATCTCAGAACAGGTCTTGCTAATTAGCGGATATTTAACATTTTTTGACTAGATGTATTTGTCCAGTTCCCTCCCCCACTCTCCTCTCTGCCACCCCATCGCCTCTCCTCCTACTCCCCACCTGCACCACCATAAAAAAAGGCAGCATGAAGATATGTTTTGTCCTGTAATTGCAAACCAGTGATTTATTTGTTGCACATCTATACTGTGTGGGTGTTGTCCTGTATCCTCTCATTTCCCCAGTGAAGCTGCCTAACTGGTTTCTATTCCGATTCAGAGAGGTCTATACATTCAGGGCTTGGGGAAAGGGAAAGAGGAATCTCCAGACAAAAAAAAAAAAAAGCTTTCCTGATCCTAATTCTGGACTGTCAACGCAAGCCTGCTTGGTTTCTTGCAGGTAATTCTATCTAGAGCCAGGGAGGGAAGAAGGAGCAGAAAGGAGATCATAGAATCTTCTCTCTGGCTTGAATGGTCCTTTCTCTTTATTCTCCATGTTTATGTTTATCTCCAGCTCTTAGTTCATGGAAACCTCCATCCTCAGCATCAAAACCTTTATAACTTTATCTCAACCTCTCTAAATCTTACATTTCCTTCAAAGTTCAGATCAAAACTCCCCCATTGAAGCTTTCCAGATGAACTTCCCTCTCAAAGCACTTTCTTTTTTTTTTTTTTTTCTAAATTAAGTTCTGGGAACCTAGGAAGTATTTGCTGAGTTGACTCAGGCTGTGGCGTATTGTGCAATTTCTGGCCCCTAGACAAAGGAAGGGAGGGTAATCGTCCAAGCTGAAAGTGTTGAGGGAAAGTTTGTGCCTACTCAGGAAATTTAGTAGAGCTGATGAAATCATGTTTACGCAGAGATTATCAGCACCTCATGGTTACCAGAAAAGGGAAAAAAAAAAAAAACCAGGTTTTTATAAAGCTTTATAAAGTGTTTTTTTTTTTTAAAAAAGCAGGATTTATTGAGAGGACAGAAAAGCTCCCACAGAGGGAGGAGACTTAAGGGGGGTGCTCATAAAGTGTTGTATAAAATGTGTTTTACGGAGTGTGTACTCTACTTCCTGCTAACTATACAGAGGATAACAAAATCTATTTAGAATTAAGTAGGATAAAGTAATTAAACATCATTTAAAAGGCACTAATGTAAGTTAAATAAAAACACACACACACACACAAAATCATGGTTGGTGTGTTAACCCTGGACATAGTTAACCCTGGACCAGGAGATCTGTGCTCATTTGTTTATCCCTCAAGTATCATCCACTACATACCAGTTTCCAGGACTATGACCCTGACTTCCCTCCCAAACCCCAGCCATCAACACCCGACCACAGGCTGAATCCTTCCCCCAGAATAGCCCACTGCTCCTCACCACCAACTCGCCTACATCCAATTGTGAATTTTCCCTTTAAACTGCTCCCTTCTCTTTCTGACAAAAACTCGGTGCATTCTCTGTTCCTTGATGCCATCTCTACATACCTCTTGCCTTTCACTCTGCTGCAGTTCAGACTTTTCTTTCTCTCTTTTGACCCTGGGAGATTTCTCACCACTTAAAGAGTTGTGAGAATTAAATAAGAGAACATTTGAAAGCAAATAACAGAGCACCTGGCATGTAGGACCTTTACATTATCCTTATTACCATCTTTCTTGGTTTTCCCATCCCACTGCCTCCGCTCTTATTCAAGGCTTGCAGTCCATACCTGGGCTTCTCCGGTCGTTCCCCTGATTTCTGGTTTCTCTCTCCTGGATCTGAGGGAGTCAGGTTATCCACACAGCCAGAATCATCTTCTTAAAACATTGCTTCGATAGTGTCGCGCCTATGCTTATAGACCTCCAATGGTGACTTGACAATTTGGGCATTTCAGGCTGTCCATCTCCTAGCCCCCATGTGCGTTTCAGCATTTTCTTTCCCCACATACAGTCTCTCTGCACCATCAATGGGATTGACTGCTCCCCATGTTTCCAATATGCCTTGGATCCTTCTGCTCCCACAGTTTTATTCATATTCCTCCCTCTCCTTCCATTTACTCTCTCTTCTTTCCATTTATCCAAATAACGTTCAATCTTGAAGACCTTCTCTTTTGTGAGGTCTTTTCTGACCACCCTCAGCTCAAATTGATCTCTCCTTTACTGAATTCTTATTCTTACTCCTCTCTGGCCATTAATCTGGTGCTTAACTCTTTCTGGCTCACCTTGCCCCCCATCTTTTCATGGTCATGTGGCCCATTTCCCCATTCGAGTGGTAAGACCTTGACAGGTTTCAGGGTTTCTGGAGGCCATTTCAGCATCAAGCACAGAATATTGTGAATAGTGCTGTTCAATGGCTTTTTTAAATTTTATTTTTATTTTTACTTTTTTTTAGTTTAAATGCATTTTATTTTTAGACAACTTACATGACACATTTTTCTTAAAAAACGATGGCTCCAATCCAAATAAATCATGGTCAAAACAAATGAAACTCAAGATGACATCAGTCCCTCAATGGCTATTGTTTAATCGGTCTCACCTACCTCGTGATCCGTAGCCAGCTGTTAAGTTATCATTCAGTAGGAAAGTAGGTGTAAGATGGATATATTTTCCCTCTTTTCCACACCCTCTGTGTTGTAGGGTGTATGGATCATCCCCATGTGCCCCGTACAAGTCAGCCACTATGACATTTGCCTGAATTAAAAGAAATGCTAGGTAATACTCTATCTCAATTGTGATGTTGGTGACATAAATGTACACATTTGTTAAAGCACTTGAGCTGTATGTTTAAGATCTTTGCATTTTACTGTATGTAATTATACCTCAACTTTAAAACAAAATAAAAAAAAAAAGAAATACCTTATAGATAGATGGAGTTTAAATTATACCCACAGTTCACTATCAACAAAGTCACTTGGTACTCTCAAAAATATCTGTTTTAAATGTTTAGAAAATTTCTTTTTTTTTTTTTTTTTGAGTTGGAGTCTCACTCTGTTGCCCAGACTGGAGTGCAGTGGTCGCTCCCAGCCACTGCAGCCTCAACCTGCTGGGCTCCGGCGATCCTTCCGCCTCAGCCTTCCAAGTAGCTGGAATTACAGGCGCACGCTATCACACCCGGCTGATTTTTGATTTATTGTAGAGATGAGGTCTCGCCAAGTTGCCCAGGTGGGTCTTGAACACGCGGGCTCAGGCCATCCATTCACCTCAGCCTCCCAAGGCGTGGGATTACAGGCTGAGCCACCGCTGACCTTTCCATTTACCAGATTAAGATATTCTCAAAAGCCAACACTGTAAAATGTCTGATATAATAAAACACTGCAAAATGTAATAAAAATATTTTAAGAGCGTTTGCACATCATTCAGAGCCATATTGTAAAATGTTACAGCTTTTTGTGAACAACGTTCCTTGCATTATTTCATTACTGTAAGACAATAAAATATGTTTTTTTGAAGATTTGTCCTTTTATTCTCATAAACAATTATATTAGCAAAACAATCATTCTAATGAGGTTATATTTCCTCTCATGCCCTGACCATTTCAATCACATTGCAGTATTTTACATCTAAAACTGAAGTATCTATTCAAATAACCATCAAGACAATCAATTTAGTACATAACATTGTTTCTTTTATTTTTGGGAAGGAAGATAATATCCTGTATGAACCTGCCATTTAAAAAGTTAAGCTATGTTGTTAAGTTAAAAAAAGAAAAAAAATTGTCTTTGGAACAATAGATCTAATATGATCCAAGATATACAATTATTAATCTATGTACTATATGTGCACGTGTTGTATGTGTGTGTGTGTGTGTGTGTGTGTGTGTGTGTGTGTGCCACTGTGAAAGGAGAAGAGGACAATAATGCTTTCATTTTTATTTTCTTATATTTCTACATTAATTTTTGCAATGAGTATGAATTAATTTTATGATAATTGACATTTATTTTATAAAGATAAGAATTCAAGCTAAGGGCATTACAAGCAAACATTTACAAAAAAGACTGAAAAGGTCATGCCCTTGGACAGTCCTAGCTTGGATAAAACCTCACTCCTGTGTTTGGAAATTTGTCCTGAAGCAAAAAGGAAAGCAGAGAGTACTCAGAGGATGCTTGGGGTTACATTATTACCAGTAATTCCACTCATAGGTACTTTTCTTAATCCTTTCCCCCTTCTCTGATTCATACTTACAGAAACTACACTGTAGATTCACAAGCACAGGAGCTACTTTGCTTGTCCTTGTGTTCTCTGTAGCCCCTGTACATAATGTTCATGTGGCCCCTGTACATAATGTTCTCTTGGCCCCTGTACATAATGTTCATTCACTAAGTGTTTGTGTAACTGACATGAGGTTAAAGGAATTGCTGTCCAATAGATATATGGACAGTGTTCAATGACTATTGTTTCCTTTGATCTTTCTGTTCCGTCATAGTCTCACTTTTGCTTTACTTATTTATTTGTCTCCTCTCCATTAGAATCAGGAGTTCTACCTTTGGCAACCTGGTTTTGGTGGTGGTATCTCCAATACTTCTTAGTTCCACTGAAGGTCAAGTTGATGAATGCCATCTTTATAGATAGCTAGAGACACATGGCTTAGTGCAAAGAGCATAGGTTTTGGAATCAAATAGACATTGAAATCGTGGCTCTGTAATTTACTGCTTGACTTGAGTCAAATATCTTATTTGAGCCCCAGCTTCCTAATTTGTAAAAACAGCGACTCATTTTAGGTTATGTGAGAATTCAATAATATATGAAAAAGGTCTGGCACAAGGTTGAAGCTTAAACACTAGTTCTCTTCCCAGTTTATCCCAGTTTCCCTACCTATCCTATCTCTATGCCCAAGCATTGCCAAATGTTTCCATCTGGTCATAAATCACATGCTTTTAAAGCCTCTTTAGCCTCTTTAGGACATCGAGGTACATATCTTGATGGCTCTACCATTCAATTTCTGAGAGAATCATTTCCAAGGAGAGCTAAAAGTTTTTTAAAAACTTAGGAAATTTCATACTGAATAACAGAAGTAAGGAAAAGGTGAAGCTGTGCCACATGTCTGAGTCATTCTGTTAGAGTTACAGTCTCAACCCACTCCACTGGTGAAGCCCCAAGTTAAGTTCTCTACACCTCTGCTCCTGGACCTTCTGGTAGGTGCAATGGGCTCTTGTTCACAGTAATTTCAAACAGTGGTTTACCAAACATATCTAGCATTTATTTGTAGTGCTCATACTAGTACATACCAGACAACATCATGGTCGCTTGACTGTGGTCTACAACTTATGAGAGTCTTTCAAGGTTAAGCTCTTCTTCAGTTAGAAGAGAAAAAGTTGCCACACCCCTCCCACCCACCTTTCCTGTCTTTCTTCTTATCCCCTTATTCCTCTAAAACAGCATCCTGGACTTGGGTTCATGGGAAGTTCTGCTAATTTACACTATTGCATGAGAAGACAGTCATATGTGTGAGTGGTTTATGCTTCTGTCTGGACATGCATGTTCACTGCCCCTGACAGGATGTTTGAAGATAGTCATAAATAGAATTGCTCCCTTGACAGCTGATCCTTATAGGATAAAACGAATTCTTGATCTTTCACCAAAACTTTCAGAAGGGACTCTAGGTTATAAAACAAAGAGATCTTCTGAGAAGCTATTTGGGCAATAGCATTTTACTTATTTTTTACTCCATAATTCACACTCATTTATTTTATTTCTATGTATTTTGTTGATAACACTCTGCCCGGTAATATTATTTGTACATTAATATCAATTATTTGTTTTTGCTTAAGTTCTCACTTTTGGAGTTTCAGCACAGTATATTTTGGTGTTTTTTTCCCCTTAAGATCATTTAATAAAATCCTGAATTCTTACCTTTTCATATGATTCTTGTTTTATCTTGCTGTAATGATTAGCTTTCCATGTGGTAGGAATTAAAATCTTTATATTTCTGAAAAATATTCTTCTCTTGGTAGCATTAAATAGGTAAAATGAAGCCTCAGTTATCATTTCCTACAACCAAACAAAAGAAAACTTATTTTGTCACTTGTAAACCTGTATATGTTGGTTTTCTGATTATGCTTAAACAAAAGAAATTAAAAATACTGAAAATATTTTGAAGAAGCCCATTTCTTTTAGAGAAAGCATTAGACTTTGGGAAAACTTAGTGGTAAATTAAGAAAAGAAACAACAGCAAAAAACATTACAATGTCCGGGTGCAGTGGCTCAAGTCTATAATCCCAGCACTTTGGGAGGCCAAGGCAAGAGGACTGCTTGAGCCTGCGGGTTCGAGACCAGCCTGGGCGACATGGTGAGACTTCGTCCCAACAATAAATAAAAAAATTAGCTGAGTGAGGTAGCGTGCACCTGTAATTCCAGCTACTTGGAAGGCTGAGGTGGAAGGATCACCTGAGCCCAGCAGGTTGAGGCTGAGTGGCCGGGAGCATGCCACTGTACTCCAGTCTGGGCGACAGATTGAGACTCCAACTCAAAAAAAAAAAAAAACACCTTACAAAGATTATCTGGAGGAGATTTTAGGGCACTAACAATGTGTCCGTGCTTGCCTTTATAATTTTCCCAGTCTTGAGAAAGGCTTTTAAAGCTTTTACTGGACAGATCCTTTTTATGTCACAGCTGGAGGCATGTTGAAGATCACACCTCATGATGCCACTGATTTGACTAAAGCATTACTCAAAGGAGGCTCTTAAGTGCTAAAGCTAAAATCCTCCCCTGCCCTATTAAAGTAAAAATAGTCAGTTATATTGCAGCACATTCAATGAAAAAGAAATAATTTTGCTGTTTGGCACTCCACACAGACGCTCACCCTTTCTGTCTGAGAATTTTCACCCTCAGGATGGCATCCAACAACATGATTTTAACAAGCACTATCAGCTTATTCATCAAACATCCAGCCTTTACTGCCCCAGTGAGTGGTCCTTTTCCTAAGTTGCTACCTCCGAGACAGTCATGTGGGAAAACAAAACAAAACAGAAGCTGAAATAAGTAGTAACCAACAATAACAAAAAGGAGGGCTTGATCAACACTTTGTGATCTGAGACTATACAGAAGGACATGAACAAATGGGCTTGACCATAGTCACAAATGTTCGCTCTATCTTTAAGAAATGCTGCTTTCTCTCCTGCTCAAATACAAACCCAGGCAGGGTTGTTAGCTCTTTAAATAAGGAAACAGGTCTAATGAGCCACTCACCTTAATGTTGGAGATGAGGTTCTGATTCTCGGGTACCTGAGGATTGATTGCAACAAGTAATCCATCATACCCGTTGTCTTGAAGCTGCACTCCAGTTCCCAAGAGTAGGAGTCCTGGACTTAGCACAGCCAAGAGGGTCACAAACTTCAGGCTGCCAACAGAACCTGCATTGTCTGTGTGGGTCATGTTGTAGAGAAGCTTCTGGTTTGCTCACACCGGGCCTTCTGGGTACATTGTGCCGGCTGTCAATGCAGGAGCAATGGCTTCTTCCTGAACTTGGAAGGTATTAGAACGTGAGGTGAAGGAGGTGCCTTCTTTGCAAAATCTGGGGTGGATCTATCTGGGACCTGTCTCTACAAGTCCTTTTTGTCTAGGCAATGCCACAGTTGCCTGCTTTCCTGAATCATGGTTGGGCAAGAAACTTTCTGTCCCTTTCTCAATTTGTATCTTCTTAGAAGGAAGAGGGAAAGAAGACAAAAGGAGCTTAACAGTGGGAGGTCTGGCTGGCTGGGCTGGAGACCAGTGTGAATCTGGATTGTTCAATCCCCTTGCAGTAAAAACACAGGAATCTATCACGATTCTCCTCTCCAAGTTTTTCATAACCTCATCGTTGTTGGAGCAACTACTTCCATATTGCTCTCAAATCATTTTTTGGTTTGTTTTAAGATTTCCTCACCTGCTAATTTTGAAGATTTGGAAATTCTGCAACCCGGTCCCTAGAGCCCTTGGGTCAGGCAGTCTGAGCAAGCTCTCAAGCCGATGGCTGAGGGTCAGGTATCAGATGTCCCCCAGGGAGGACCAAGTGCCAGGAACTTGGATGACTATGCAGACCACGGGGACCTCTCCCTCTGGCCTGGCTGCCTTTTCTCTCTGTACCAGAGAAAACAATGAATTTCTCTTTTAAAAGCTGTGTCGTGAGGGTAGGGCCTGCCACAGTCAATCTCCCATTTCTCCAGTGCCTGTCACAGTATATAGTAGCCCTCAAAAATATTTTATGATGGATTATTAATACCTGATAATTACATAATGCTTTAGAGTTTATAAATTAACCCACTTAAGTGTCAATTTCTTGTGATACAGGTGTAAGTTTTACTCCCATTTTTCAAATGAAGACGGTCTCAGAAGTTCTGGTCATTCAGATTAGCCGAAGGAGGAAGGAACTCACATTTATTGAGTGAAGGGTTTCAGTATGTCTATTTTATGGGTGATAAAACTGAGGCTCAGAAAAATCTAAGTAACTTGCTCAAGATTGGGAATCCTGCCATTGTACTAGATTGTGACCAATTCCAAATTCCACTTCTTTTCACTACATTGTGTTCTCTCTCAGCTACCAAATTATCCTAGGAACCCTCTTTCTCTCCTCTCTTTGTGTATGGGAACCCCACACTTAGTGACAGCTGTTGCATAGCCAAGGAAACAGTTTTAGTGTTAGGTTAGTGGTCCACAGCCAGCAAATCTTGAGACTTCTGGCCATCCGCACTCTCTTCCCTGCTGTGGTCCCACCTCTGAAGGTTGCTGGGGAAGGGTGTGCAGGGAAAGATTTGTCCCTGCTCTCATCAGGGATTTTACCAACATTGAATCTCTTTTCTGCTCTATGGGCCATTTGTCCGGGGCAGTGCAATCTCATTCTTCGTCCCCAAAATGCTGGAGTCTTCTAAACCAAAGTTTTAGACTCCTGTCTTTGCCCTGGCAGACAATCATAATAACAGGCAGCATTTAGCCAGCACTGATACTTTGCTTATGCGCTGTAATTCTTCTCAATTTACAAACTAAGCTTATTACTATCTTCACTTTATAGATAGAAAGTGGAATTTAAACAGGTTCTGTAAAATGGAGGAACTATTAATATCCACCCAGTTGGTTTGTTGAGAGAAGTATTAGTTAATATATTCAAATGTTTAGAACAATACCTAGCATATGGGAAGCCACGTATAAGTGTTAGCTATCATGATTATTGCTGCTAATAGTTGACATATATAACCCTTTCTTCTTACCTCTCACGAATATTTATTGCTCATGAACTCAGTGCACTGTGGTAGGTGCTGGGGATATCAGCAAACAAGGGATCATCTCCTGTCCCCAAGGAGCTAGTAACCTAACAGGGATGCTGATGAGTTAGGTAGGGGTGAGCACGGGAGGCAATTGTAACCCACTGGGGGTCATCTACACCTGGCTCAAGGGGAGGCATCAGGGAAAACTCTCTAAAAGCAGTGACATCAATGCTGAAACAAAACGGATGAACGGGAGTTGATGGAGATGGAGTGGATGAGGGTGGGGAGGAGTCTAGCAAAAACCTAGAGATGGAAGACTGCATGGGAGTGTTTGAGAAACTGGAAATGACTTGTAAGTGCTGCAATATTCAGGGGTGCCCAAGGGGGACTTTTCCTTGCTATCCTTTTGCTTGGAACCACTTCTCTGACTCCTTCTCACCTGTCTTTCCTTCAAATTCCCATTCTTTCCTGGAAGCTGGCCTCCCTAACTATGACAAATTCCCCTCTTTTGTGGTTGTACACCATCAGGTAACTCTCCCTTGAAGCATGATCATGGTTACAATGTCACATTTATATTGTGTAATAACTTCCCCAGCACTAGCTCAGTAAACTCTTCCTGAATGAATCAATGAATGAATGAATGGAGTCAGGAAAGTAAATAAAAGCCAGATCCTGAAAGAGCCCTGGATTACATTGTAAAAATGCTTCCCCTCAGTCTTGTTTTCTAGAAAGTATTTCCTGCTTTTGAGCAGTCTTCCTCCTGTTCCTCTTGACATTCAGCTCAGGGATATTGGTGTTCCCCTGGGTATGTTAGAGAAGGGAATATCACTGCTGCCATGTGGCTGCCTACCTTACAGCTCAGAGGGCAGTGAGACCATCTTGTCTTCTGAAGCTGATTTCCAGCCTCGGGTTTTTTCCACTCAGTCACACTATGCCTCCGGTGTGGAAGGCCAGAGGTGTGGCAACAGCAAAGACTCTGCCAGCAATTGTGACTCACTGAGCAGAACAATGCACTACATTTCAACTTTCCTTGGCAGTTTATTTTCTCATACCAATCTCTTGTGATTTTAAGAAAAAAACGTTCCAATCAGCAAAGCAATACACTCAAAAATTAAACTTGTAAGTACACTGTAAGAGTAACTTTTTGCCAGCAATCAGGGAAGTTTCTTGCCACCATGCATACGTGTATAAGTTGCTCACTGGTGGAGGGGAAAACTGAGGACTGATATTTAGTGCTCTTTCCACTTGTTTTTATTAACATTGTAATGGCTCCTTTAGGAGTTGGGGTGGAAAGTGTTGGCTACAGTGTGCATGCAGCTTTATAAAGAACAGCCATCTATGAACAATCTGGGTTAAAGCCTAAACAAGTACACTCAGGCTGAGAGTCTAGGCCTGACACCCACTCCTGTCTATCTGCTTTGTGGCTCTTTGGTTCTGGAACCCAATCCCTAGGTCTGGCCACCTTTCTGGACCCCATGTTCATCATTTATGTCTGACAAGATTCCTGGTCACTGACCCATTTTCTGACCACGTTTTGGCAATCACTTTTGTTCCCTGAGCCTTTTCCGACCTGCCAATCAGAAGAACTCTTTGTGTTATCAGCAACCAGGTATAGAGCCAGGCCAGTTGAGGTCTCTTTTTACTGTCTTCTCTTCTCACTCGACTGACCCTACAAGAGACAAAACTTAAAAATAAAAAACCAAAAAACAAAACTGGAGAAAACTGACTTGACTAAAGTCATTTCAGTAATTTCTGAGTAACTCATTTCTGAGCAGAGCATATTCTGGTGCGGTGGAACTTTGTCAAAAGCATGAAAACTTTATCCTTCCATTAAAAAAGATTCACAGACAGCCGGGCACGGTGGTTTATGCCTATAATCCCAGGAGGCTGAGGTGAGAGGATTGCCTGAGTCTGAGTTCGAGACTAGCAACTTGGTGAGAACTCATCTCTACAATAAATAAAAAAAATTAGCCAGGCATGGTGGCACATACCTGTAGTTCCAGCTACTTAGAAGGTTGAGGCAGAAGGATCGCCTGAGCACAGCAGGTTGAGGCTGCAGTGGCTGTGAGCATGCCACTTTCATCCAGCCTGGGTGACAGAGTGAGACGCCAACTCAAAAAAAAAAAAAAGAAAGATTCACGGTTGTATCCATAGATTTTTATGATATCTGATCAATAAAATATACCTGAAGTGAAGGAAAATGTGGATACAATTTTCAAGTGTTAATTTCAATGTTACATAAACTCTAGGAATCTGCCTGCTTTTATCTGCTTTCAAGAAAATAAGGGTTATTCAATTTCAGTAACTGAAGAATCCAAAGCACATCTTTGTTCATTGTCTGACTCTGTAGTTCAATCTGCTCCCAGAACAGCCTGTTTGTCTATTTCTTTTTGTGGTGTCTGCTGCTGGTACAGATCCACAGTATGTGTATAAAATGTCCAATTGGTGTCAGAGAAGTCAGAACATTTGACATCTTGAGGAATCAGAGAAAGTTTTGGATTCTTTCCTCTCAGGCTGTGGTTTCAAGAATCCCATTTAGAAGAGGAAAGCCTAGTGTACTGTGTGGTTGGGCTGCAGAGTTCACGGGCCACTTCAATTGATGCAGTCCTTATGAAATTGATCAAAACAGAAGGGAGACAGTGTAAAGACTAAGAATGTAAACAAAACAGAGTTTGCCAAAGGCCCCTGAAGGTCCATTTTATACTTTCTTTATCCCATTTTCTTCAAATTTATACTCATTTGCAAAGCAAAGGAACAATGTGGCTTGTCTAGATAGGGTCTGGGAAGTCATCTGTGTCTGTTGAGTCACCACCATGCCAAAGCATGAAAATCAACAACAAAGGTGAAACACAAAGAAACACCAATCAAACACAGAACTGAGCATGTCAGAGTAAACCAAGTGACTGACAGAGATAGCTGCTTGGGAACCTGATGATGAAAAGATTCCCAAACTGAGCAAAGCAGGAACTGTCTCACATTGCATAAGGAAGCACTGACTTTGGATGATGTAAGGACCTTTCTGGTGATAGACTTATGGGCCCCAGACATTATTAGAAATAATCCCTCATGTTTGTATGGTGTCATGCAGTTTTCAAAGCATTTTTACATGCCTTATCTCATGAGTCAAAGAACTTATGAATTTCCCTTCTACAGAAATTAGTTTAAAGAACAGCAAGGGAGCTAGCTGTGGTGGTTCATGCCTGTAATTCCAACATTTTGGGAGGTGGAGGTGAGAGGATTGCCTGAGTCCAGGGGTTCGTGACCAACTGGGGCAACTTGGCGAAACCTTGTCTCTACAATAAATAAATTAATAAATTAGCCAGGTATGGTGGCACGTGCCTATAGTTCTAGTTACTTGGAAGGCTGAGGGGGAAGGA